TTGGCTATCTGAGGCAGACAAAGCAGCAGCATTTGTCTTTGTAAACAGTAAATTAGTAAATTCATGATGTGGGGCCCATGTGTAGATGCCATCTTTGACACCATGGCCATTTCATTTATGTGTCCCCTGTGGTAATTCTGAGATGACCAATGATGAAGGCTGGCTAACGTTAATTAGCCATGTAACTTTGGCTAATTGTTTTTTCAATGCCTTTTCCAATGCAGATGCTTTTTTGGTGGGCATTAACATGTAATACAAAAATCTTCACACTTCATGTCCACTTCCATATGTCCATCCACATGCTTCCACTGCAGACTTCCTCATCTCTCCTCTTCCAGTGGTATGACTGTTTGAGCTACCACCTACACTTCCTGCAAGGCTCCTTTCTGCTCCAGTTTCTACTCAAAGCTGGCAGGTTTCCATGTCACCAAGTCAATAGGCTGGAATATAGTTCCACTTGTAGATTTGGTTGCCTCCAGAACCCAAAGAAGTTCAGCAGATGTTGTATTTCTTTGTAGCAGGAAATATAAGATGTAGCAATTTGTCTTTTACTTTTTTTTTATGATAGTCACAGAGAGAGAGAGAGAGAGAGAGGCAGAGGGACAAGCAGGCTCCATGCACCGGGAGCCTGACGTGGGATTCGATCCCGAGTCTCCAGGATCGCGCCCTGGGCCAAAGGCAGGCGCCAAACCGCTGTGCCACCCAGGAATCCCTGTCTTTTACTTTAGAGGAGATGTCCTGACCTGCCCCTGGTCAATGAACTCCTAAAAACTTTCTTGAAGTGGGTAGGTCCCTGAAGCTATTTAGGTTTTATTTCCTACATTCTGAAGCTCGTGTGCCAAGGCCTCCAGCATACAAACCAACTCTTGCTTGTCTTGCCAGCATTATATCACTAACATTTTGGATCGATGTAATGATGTACTCTCTGAACTATATCATGACAGAGTGTGGAGAGTTAACACAGACCTGGGTGAAACTATAAATGAATCTTGTTATCTGTTCCACGTCAGTGTGAACTATTTCTGATCCTCTTTTCTTTTCTCTTTTTTTCTGATCTTCTTTTCTGATTGGTATAGAAAAGAATACAATTATCAAATCAGTGTTTGCATAATACATAGCTGAGGACTTGCTCATCTGCTTTAGCATCAACATCCTGCTTGGTATAGCAACCTGGTTGAGCTTGCAAAAATGTATAATCATTGTGCGGAATACATGTGGTTTTAGAGGTTATCTGATGGGTGAATTAAATTAAAATAAGACAGGGACCACTACATGCATCCTTTAAATCTTCAATAGTGGTTGTATTAGTCAGGGTTCTCCATAGTAACAACTGATAGGCTGTGTGTGTGCATGTGTTTTAATAAATAAATTCATTTTTAAAAAGCATTCTTTGGAGATATTTATTTGGCTCATGTGATTGTGGAGGCTTGGCAAGTCCAAAATCTGATAAGGGAGACAAGCAGACTGGAGGAAGGAAAAGCAGATGTTACAGTTGAAGTCTGAGGCATAATTCCCTCTTGTTCAGGGGAGATCAGCTTTTTGTTCTATTCAGGTTTTCAGCTGATTGGATGAAGCCCATGACCATATGCTTTACTTAAGTCCGCCAGTTTAAATGGAAATTTCATCCAAAAATACTCTCATAGGAATATCAAAAATAATGTTTAACCAAATATCTATGCACTGTGGCCTAGCTAAGTTGACCCATAAAGTTAACTATCACAACAGAACTAGTCTCTGCCATTGTTTTGGGGATGCAATATTATTTTTCATTTACTTTCATGGCTTGGGAAAGTGATGGCTTCAGAGGCTTCCTCTTGGCCTTCTCCAATATGATGGTTCTTATCCTACTGGCCAGGGATCTAAATGAATAAAACCTAATGGTAACCCTAACATTTCATCAAAGATAAGTGAAATGACCACCAGCTAGGTTCATGAACCCAGTAGACCCAGACTACATTGATTAACTGGGTCCCAAAGCCCTTGATGGTCATGATGACACTTCAGGTTTGCAGTTATTAATGTCAGCTCTGATGGTATGTCCAGATGTCCTCAGCATGTGCAACTATCCTCCTTTGTCCAGTGCATAGCCACCTGTGGAAATGGATGAAGGTACCTTTGGGGCAGGACTGGGGAAATCATTATGGTTAATACCTGACCTGGTGTTGTAAGGTTCTTCCACCTTGGGACACAGCTATTTCAATCATTACATTCTTTGTCTGAAAATCGTCTCAAAATTGGTGCAGTCACTATGAAAACAATATGGAGGATCTTCAAAAAATTAAAAATAGGGCAGCCCTGGTGGCTCAGCAGTTTAGTGCCACCTTCGACCCGGGGCATCATCCTGGAGACCTGGTATCGAATCCCACATTGGGCTCCCTGTATGGAGCCTGCTTCTCCCTCTGCCTGTGTCTCTGCCTCTCTCCCTCTCTCTCTCTCTCTCTCTCTCTCATGAATAAATAAATAAAATCTTTTTAAAAAATTAAAAATAGAACTACTTGATGATCCAGCAATCGCACTCTGGGAACATATCCAAAGGAAATGAAAACAGTAACTTGAAAAGATGTCTGCACCCCCCTGTTCATAGCAGCATTATTTACACTAGCCATGACATGGAAATGACCTAAGTGTTCATTGGTAGATAAATGAATAGAGAAGTTGTGGTATTATATGCACATATACAATGGAATATTATTCAGCCATAAAAAACGAGGATGTCCTAACATTTGTGACATTAGTGGGCCTGGAAGACATCATGCAAAGTGAAGTAATACTGTATGACCTCACTTATATGTGAAATCTAAAAGGAAAAAAAAAAACCTCAAACTCATAGAAAAACTGATCATCAGACTTATGGGTACTAGAGGTGGAGGGTGGGGGGGAGAGGGAATTGCGGGAAGATGGTCAAAGGTTCAAACTTCCAGTTTCAAGATAAATAAGCACTAGGGATGTAATGTGTAACATGATGATCATAGCTAAAACTGCTATAGGCTACATATGAAAGTTATTCAGAGAGCAAACCCTAAGAGTTCTCACCACAAAGAAAAATTGTTTTCTTTCTTCCTTCCTTCCTTCCTTCCTTCCTTCCTTCCTTCCTTCCTTCCTTCCTTCCTTTCTTCTTTCTTTCTTTCTTTTCTTTCTTTCTTTCTTTCTTTCTTTCTTCTTTCTTTCTTTCTTTCTTCTTTATTTCTTTCTTTCTTTCTTTCTTTCTTTTTTTACTTTATCTATGAAATGGGATGTTAGCTGAACTATTGTGGTAGACATTTCATAATATATGTAAATCAAACCACTAGGCTGTATGCCTTAAACTTACACAGTGATGTATGTCAATCATTTGGGAAAATGTTGAATTAGAAAAGATGAAGAAAAAAAATAATAAAAAAAGATGAAGACACCTTGTGGTCACCTCAAGAGATTAGAAAGATTATATCTATAATTATATCCAAAATCATATCCTTTAATAAATTAATTAATTGTTTAAAAATTTGTCTCAGGTCTAGGAACTGAGCATGAATTTTTATTGAGGCAACTACCCCTATCTTCCTGCTTCTCTGTTCTTGCCTATTTCTGATTAAAGAGGTTAAATGGCACTCTCCTTGGTTGTCCTGTTTTGCAAGCAGGGACACCAGATTCTCTTAACCGTTTCCATAGCTTTCTATGTGTCATGCTCCCTTGACAGGCTATTCCAATTTTGCTGGTAGTTATAATAATGGTGGTCTCCCTGGCTTCTGGCAGTTAAGTTTCATTATCTGGCCTCTATTATTTTGAAGTGCTATCATCCCCGTTGATATGAATGAGCTTAAATCTGTGACAGCTTTATCTCTGGCCTATAAGGAGTGCTGCCACTAGACTTTATGACGCTGGTGCCCCTCTCACCAGTGCATTGCTGAAGGCTTTGGAGAACAGTGCATTTTCCAGGCCCAGCTATGGAACATAATCTTCTGGTAGGCTCTCTGGTCTAATGTTATGAAGCTATTATAATATACTCCTTCCTGTAGCCCTTTTATTCATTCCTCAACCATCTTTCATGGCAGCTCAGGCATTTCAGCTTCATCCTGAGTTATCACCTTTTCTTGGTTTCTAAGAGCCACTCTACAGTGAGTTTGCCCTATCCGAGGAGTTAGAGGGGTAGTCCTTGTGATGGTGTTAAATCCCACTTTCCAAGAAAGTGCTCAGACGATCTCTGTGTCTCTTACAACTGTGCCTTTTCAGTAAAAGTACTGATCTCTCAGTTTCTCACTATCCCCCATTCTCCCTCTGCAAGGCATCAATAGAACTTTGAAATAACAAGCCAACACCATTCTACTTGTAGGCATTATTCTCCCCATCTTTCATATGTCTAAATCATCATACTAGCAAAGCTGTTCCCCTCTATATTCCCAAGTCTCCAGCAGTGAGATCTTCAGTAATCATAGAGCTTCCTTGTGCCAGGAACTTTCTGTTCCCCACAGTCCACTCAGGACGAGGTCTCAGGGTGGCTTGCCGGCCAACATGAATGAACAATTCCTAAACCTAATTTTACTGCCTGCTTTCTTGCACCATTTTTTTTTTTTTAACCAACTGTGTCAGTTGGGTCCTCTGGGTAGCAGGTACCAAACCAAAATTAGATTTACAAAAAAAGTACTGAGAAAACATCTGTGAAGGATAAGGAGGAAGAGAGCAGGAGTAGTTGGGGAGAGCCTTCAAACCTGCCTTGGCAGGTCTGTGAAAGGAGAGATGAGGTAGGAAGAGCCCTGGGGCACAGGGCAGCTTGGAGAAAGTCTGGCCAGGCAACTGAGGCCCAAACAAAGATTGCCCACTAGAGAAATTTTAGGTAAGGCAGAAATGGCCCAGCTATAGGACCCCACTGTGTTAATTATTGACTGGGAGCCTCCTGAAGAGAGAATGGCTTCAATATGAACACCACAGACGTGGAGGTACAACAGCTAGCTGGAGTTGCTGGTCAATGATACTTCATATACTTCTTGAAGGAAGAGCTGAATTGTGTAGCAACATAAGTCAAAATGGCTTTAGCAGGAAGGAAAAGGTCACAGTTGGCAGGCCAGCTAGAAAATGGAATGGGAGGGAGCCAGCCAAGGAGCATTGTGGGTAAGCATGGCTATGCACAAATTTTTATCTTTATTTACACATGTATGGGTTGGATGGACTAGTTTAATGTTACAACAGGCATGAATGAGTCTGTGAATAAATGGGCCTGCAGTAAGAAGTGAGCATTGGTAAGGAAGGAGGTGTAAAAAAAAATCTATAACAATCGGACACAAAAATTAAGAAGGCATAGCTTTATGGAGCCATTTAACATAGAAGAAAGTCATCCTATAATCCTCAATATACCCAGAGAGCAATTACTCTATTATTGGAACCATCACAAAAAAGATAGGTTGAGTATCATCTGTCTTATGAAGTAAATACGTACTCCCTCATATATGTACTTTGAAAAGATTTTCAACAAAATGATTTTTTATTTTTATTTTTTATTTTTTTTTCAAAATGATTTTTTAAATGTCACTTGCTTAAATGGTAACTCCCTCCATTCTACACAAAAACTTTACAATTTTAAAAGATTGATTTTCCTGCTAGACAGCTGGGTTATACTTTATTATCTTTCAAATATTCATGCCACCTGTTTTATGGCTTTTTCTATAACTTTATAGCTATCATTTTTTAAAATTACATTTTTGATAGAAAGTGTATTAGAAAGTGATAGACTTCTGTAATTCAGGGTATGAAAAGGATTCAAACTTCAGTGGCAAAATGTAAAATTGTTTGTATTATTTAATCCGACTCTAAGTTCAAGGGAAATGTTTGCAGTTTACATATTTATGATTTTCAAAATATCTTTCATAGCCTTGAAAATAAAAGTAAAAAGTTAGAGCTTATAAATATTTTAAAGACATGTTTAGACGATAACAAAAGCAAAGTCTGTAAATGATACTTTGTGGTGGCTGAAATGAAACTCAGAAAAGTCATTTGTATTAAGTAGCATCCTTTAGTTGTAGGAACCTGTGGCCACTGGGGTTTATGGCATAAAGTTGGATGCGAGGCTATTACTTGTTATTAAATTTTAAGCAACAAAAGCATTTATCTCTCTGTCACCCTGAGCACCACCATTATCTGATTCCTCTTACTCATCTTTCTTACCACTATTATATGCTAATATAGAAGTAATATTTATAATACTGTATTATAATACTATACCTATTATTACTACATCCACATTCCCCTGGGTGGCTAAATGCAGTAAGAAACATGGGGAATTTGGCGACAGACCTGGGTTTGAGTTCTAAATTCGCCTCACATTAGCTGCATGAATTCATCTCATTATGTCAGCTGCCTAACGTGTAACACGGGGATAATATCCACTGCAAGTGGTGGTCATGAGAATTCTATATGTGTAAATCACCTATATGGACTACAATTTCTAATTTCCTGCCTAATCTCCTTACTATCGGAGGATGATCTGTTTGCTTCATGGAGAAAATTAGAGGGTACAAAGTTAATCACACCAGTTCTTTTTCATAGATTTGTCTCTTGTCCCTTTACCACTTTTTTTTTAAGATTCTGTTTATTTATTTGAGAGAGAGAGAGAGAGAGAGGGAGAGAGAGAGAACATGGGCAGGGGCCAGGGCAGGGGGCAGACTCCCTGTTGAGCAGGGATCCTGATTTCTCTGAGCTAATCCCAGGACATTGGGATGCTGACCTGAGCTGATGGCAAATGCTTAGCTGACTGAGCCACCCAGGTGCCCTTCTTTACCACTTTCTTGAAGTTGTCCTATTCAAAGACACCAGGAGCTTCCTAGCTGCCAAATCTAATTACCTCCATTTCAGTCCTCATTCTGTTTGCTGCATGAACAAGTTGGCTATTTTCCTTCTTGAAACATTTTGCTTTCTTGGCTTCTCTGAAGCCATGCTTTCTAGTTCACTTCCAGTTTTTTTTTTCTTCCTTTCATCTGATTTTAGGCTTCTTTTATAGCTGGCATATCAAGGTCAATAGCAGAAAGCCGTGGTGAGTTGGTTCAACTTGTGATTCAAAAAGCAATCCAAAAAAAGAATCAAGACCAATACTGTGAAGACACAGAAGCCAAGTAGGAGATGTTCCAGAGGCTGTAATAGAGAGCTGCAGCCAAGAATCAGGAGCTGGAGATAGCCTCTAAGGTCACTGTAGATAAGAAAACAAGGAGAAATACCTAATGGGATACAACTATGTTTCCTGGACATCCCTTCATTTTTACCTGGTACTCTTTTTTATGGGTGGAGCACTTAACAGGACTGCCAAGTTCCCATCCACTTTCTTTTCTTTCAGGCTTTTAAATGTTGTTCTCTAAAGTCTTATTTCTTGGACTTCTCTTTCAATACACACTTAGCCTGGATGATTGCATGCAGTCTCATTTTAAGTACCTGGTCTCTTACCAGGTTAGACCATCTAATGGGTACATGTATCTAGATGTCCTGCAGTATTTGAAGCTCAGATGCCTACCTTGAGCTTGGTATGTTCTTAAACTGTTCCCTCCTTCATTTGGGACATCACCCCCATCCAGCCGTTCATATTAGAAACCATGATGCCATTCTTAACTTCTTTTTCTTTGCTGACATCCAGTAAGTTACCAAGACTTCTAAAAATAATTAAGGAGAATTTTACTACTACTACTACTACTACTACTACTACTACTACTACTACTACCACCACCACCACCACCATTACTGTGGCTGCCTTTTTTCTAGCTCCTGAGCTAAGCACTCTACTAAGCCCTTTCTATACATTACCTCATCTTATCCTCATAATAGCCTTTAATAGTAGCCTGTGGGTGCTGTTATTATCTCCGCCTTACAGATGAAAAGTCTGAGGCTTGGCATATTTGAATTATTCTCTTATGTTTTAAATAGCTTGCTCCAGTTACACAGAATTGAATCCAGGTATTTTCACTCCAGATCCTGCTTTCTCCATCACTATGTTCTCCTTCTACTGTATTTCTCTTAACAAGGTCTCACAAATCTAGTCCCTCCTTCAGCTACAGTTACATAAGTTCACATACCTGAGCTCCAAAAGCAGGTGGATTTGCATTGGAATCCTGGGGCCCCTGCCTACTCTGTGACTTTGTTTTTTTGTTTTTGTTTGTTTTTTTTTTTTTTTGTTTTTTTTTTTTGTTTTGTTTTTTTGTTCTGTTGACTTTGGACAGGTTACCTTCTCTGCCTTTGATTCCTCATTGGTAAAGAGGTATATACTAACTACATTACAGTTGCTTATAGGGTTTTAAATTAGGGGATCCTGGGTGGCTCAGCAGTTTAGCGCCTGCCTTTGGCCCAGGTCGTGATCCTGGAGACCTGGGATCGAGTCCCACATTGGGCTCCCTGCATGGAGCCTGCTTCTCTTTCTCTCTCTGTCTCTCATGAATAAATAAAATCTTAAAAAAAATAAAATTAAATAATATAAAGAAAAAGTAAGGAATAAAAGCATAGGTAATCTAGGTAAAGCTCTGTACACTTAATACACATAGGTTATGTGACACTTAATACATTTGTTACTGTTACTATTCTACTCCAGTATAAGCCCCCATATGTTTTTAATGTGTTTCAAAAGATTTCTTACTGGTCTCCCTGACATAAGACCTGCTAAGTTCCTTCTTTCTGTTGTCAGAATTATTTTTTAAAGCTATTTCTGATCGTGTCACTTCCCTAAGAGCCTCTAACATTGCTTTTCTCTGTGAGCTTGTTTTTTTGTGCCATACTAAAGCATTGACTTAAAGTGGAACCAGCTTCTTAAAATGGAATGGCACCTGCCATCTTTCTCGTTAATTTTTCTGCTACTCTCCCAAAATCAGAACAGCCTTTATTAATGCCAAACTTATTATTTCATGGACATGCCAGTCCCTTTGATGCTTTTGGAGTCTCTGTTTCCTGTTTCAGTATTTACTTTTGGTCATCTAGAAAACTCCTGCTTGTCCTTCAAGACTCCGTTCTTCATGATACCTTTGCCTAAGTCAAAACCAAACACCCCTCTGTGCTATTAAGAGTACTTTACTCATACTACTTATCATGACAAATCTGTAATTACTGAAGTGCAATTACTTTCCCTAAGGAAAAGACCATTTCCAAATAAAAATCTATCAAATTTGGTGTGTTGTACAGTATCTGGTACATTGTGGACAATCACTATACATCACTGGATGAATAAATGAAACCTAAAGATTCTTGTAGTTTTATAGTTGACAGGTCTTTTAACATGCTTAACCTATTTTCACCATATTAGCATAAGATATAAGCATAAGATAGGATACAAGAAGCTAAATTATTATCAACTGGGACTTATTAAACTTCTCCAACATTTTCCCCAATTGCAGAGCTTTAAAAATACACAAAAATAACCACCAAAATTTTTAAAAATAAAGGTACAAGTAAGCACTGCTTATGTTTTAAGAACAAGGTAATTATGCAGATCATGATAATTACTTGTGGTTATTGGTAAATACATTGCAGCTTGATCATTGTACTCCACTTCAGGTTCAGATTAGAATGCTTCTCTAATTTGCCACAGAAGTCAGGCTACAACCAGGAATGAGAGGAACTCTTTGGAATTACAATAGCATGTCCAAGTCTTTGCAGTGTCCATCCATTTCTCTCATGTGGCAATAATAATCAGTCAGTTAAATAATTTAAAATCAGTAAGTTCTATTATTTCCCTGAATTCCTTGGAAACAGCTGAGCCAGAGTAATGAGGAAAATCATTGATTTGCAAACTGGAGCAGTGTTTAGCAAAATGTGAGTAATGACTCATTAGTGGCACATGAAATCAATTTAGTGTGTCAGCAATTAAAAAGTAAATGAAACAATAGAAAATACAATAGTATTTTCTATTTACTATTGTAAATGTATTTACTATTGTATTGTATTTTGTATTTACTATTGTGCTGCATCAGGTAAGAGTATGTTGTTCTGTAAAATTTTTGTTACAGCTCTTATGTGTGTGTATTTATTGGGTTTTGATGTAAAATGTATGTCCCATTATGGTATATGTCTCCCACTGGACTGGGAAGTAGTTTGAAAGACACCACCCTATAGGACGCAGCAATATTGTTTAAGGAGTGGGATCATTTTCAATTACCCACTTAATAAAATTGGTTTAATGACTTGATAACATTGCAATCATGCCCCTCTTGAGGCCCCAAACCCTAATTACATAATCATAATTCCAAAAGCATAATCAACACCTGATTCATGCACCAGACTTGTCTTCAAATGGCATTTAATTCTTTCCCAAGTCAAATGCATTTTTGAGAGATACATATTCACTACCACAGAAACTATCTCAAAAAATTTGCTGTAGTTTCTGAAGTCAATACCAAAAAAGCAATTTGAAAAATATTTTCAGCAAAAGCAACATCCCTAAACTTAGAGCACTATTTACCAGGGCTATTCCTAAAGTTTCTATTTGCATGTTTATCACATTTAATTATAATTATTGTATAATTTTCTCCCAATAAGACTGAGTCCCTATCACACAGAAACCTTACTTTACTATTTCTCTATGCTAGTGTCTATGTGTGTGTGTGTGTATACACACATTTGTATATGTATATACAAATATACATTTCTTTATGAGGTGAAATTCATATGACATTATTAAACATTTTGGGGTTCCTGGGTGGCTCAGTCTGTTAATTGTCTGCCTTTGGCTCAGGTCATGATCCCAGAGTCCTGGGATTGAGTCCCACATCAGGCTCTCTGCTGAGCGGGGAGCCTGCTTCTCCTTCTCTCTCTGCCCGCCACTCTTCCTGTTTGGGCTTTCTCTCTGTCAAATAAACAAAATCTTTAAAAAAAAAATTTACAGTGAACAATTCAGTGGCTATTTAGTACATTCAACCACTACCTCTGTCTAGCTCCAAAACATTTTTATCACCCCCAAAGGAAACTTGTTCAGGTAAGCAGTTACTTTCCAGTGTCCCCAATCCCTGGTAATCACCAATTTGCATTCTTATGGATTTACTTATTCTGGATATCTTATATAAATGGAATCATACATACATGACCTTTGTTCCTTCACTTAGCTTAACATTTTGGGGCCCATCTATCTTGTAGCAGTACTTTATTCCTTTTTATGGCTGAATAATATTTCACAGCATGTTTATGTTACAATTCGTTTATCTGTTCATGGGTAGATGGACATTTGGGTTGTTTCCACCCTTTGGCTATTGGGAATAGTTTTGCTATGAACATGGGTGTACACTGTAGAGTCATTTTAATGCTCTAAGTATCTATCTACTGGCAGAGAATAAGTTCAAGAATATTAGGAGTCATTATTTCGGGATTACAGATGAATCTTTTTATACTTTTAAGATCATTGGGCTTTAGAAGTAAGCAGACCGACCATTGAGACTCCCATTTCTTCATGTGTAAAATGAGGAAATAGAACCTAAAATAAAACTTAACTGTGAAGAGTAAATATATATAAAGGACTTAGAAATATGTGAGGGTACAGTGTAAGTACTGAATAGTATTTTTAAAAATCTTTTGTTTTTATTTTTTTTTGTTATCTTTTTTTGAAAAAGATTTTATTATTCATTCATGAAAGACACAGAGAGAGGCAGAGACACAGGCAGAGGGAGAAGCAGGCTCCCTGCAGGTAACCTAATGCAGGTCTCCAACCCAGGACTTCAGGATCAGGACCTGAGCCAAAGGCAGATGCTCAAGTGCTGGGCTACCCAGGTGCCCCTATTTTTTGGTTACCTTATTTTAAAAATTTTTCCCCTAATGGAATAACACTGGTGTTAAAGAGGGTTTTTGGTTTTGTTTATGAGTGTATGTGCGTGCTACACACTTAAGATGCGTAGTCTTCTCCAATAGTCGTTTGGGCTGATGCCAAAGGTCGCTGATGGTTTGATCTGAGAACATCACTTTGCGCGTGGTTCTACAATGTAACTCTCCCTCTAGGTTTCCATTAAAAAATGTTTCAAGTACGGTCGTCTCCAGCCCCTGCCATAGCTCCTCTTCCAGGTCCCCTTTGCTGCAGCATCGCTTTACATGTCGCATGTGCAACCATCCAGCTTTTTTTTTTTTACATCTTAGTAAATTCACAAGGGAGGGCTGAATAGCACAGGCTTTCTGGTACACAGCAAGGAAAATACTTTGCCACCAGGTTTTTCCAAGTCTGTAAAATTCCCTCCAGAACATTTCCGTCCTCCCTAGAAAATCCTCAAATTTATTTTTTCATTGTAAACTCGGACTTCTTTGCCAAATATGCACATCTTGAGCACCCCAGGTTAAGGTCCCGGAGCCTGCAGGGCACCCCGGGCCCCCTCCTCCCGGCCCCCTCCCTCCCCCCGGGGCTTGGGGAGCCCCGAACTGGCGTCTGCAGCCCGGGAGTTTCGAGGGCTGGGAGACAGCTGGGTGTCACGTGGGGAGGCCGCGCGGGGACAGGCGCCCGGGGATCGGGTTCCCACCATCACCCCCCCCCCCGCCCTCGACCCCCCACCCGGGAAGCTGCAGTCGAAGGGCCGCATCCCCAGAGCCCAGGCCCGGGGTTCGGGGAGGCCGTGGGGGAGGGGAGCGGCCCGCCCGGGGCCGCACAGGTGGGGGGTCCGCGCCAGGGGTTCGAGTCCCCGCCTCGACCCCCCCCCCCCCCGGGAAGCTGCAGCCCGGGGGCCGCATCCCCAGAGCCCAGGCCCGGGGTTCGGGGAGGCCGTGGGGGAGGGGAGCGGCCCGCCGGGGGCCGCACAGGTGGGGGGTCCGCGCCAGGGGTTCGAGTCCCCCCCTCGACCCCCCCCCGGGAAGCTGCAGCCCGGGGGCCGCATCCCCAGAGCCCAGGCCCGGGGTTCGGGGAGGCCGTGGGGGAGGGGAGCGGCCCGCCCGGGGCCGCACAGGTGGGGGTGCGGCGCCGGGTCCCCCCAGCGGGAGCGAGGGGCGCCGCGGGGGCGCGGGGGCCGGGCCGAGGGGGCTCCCGCGAGGTGGCGCTCAGGCTCCTCCTCCGCGCTCAGGTTTCCTCTCCCGCCCGCCGCCCGCCGCCCGCCGCCCGCCGCGCCGCCTCCCCCCGCGCCGGGCCCACTCGGCGGCCTCCGCCCGCTTTCTCTCTCCGCTTCCCCTCGAGCCTCCGGAGGCGCCCGCAGCCGCGGGGCGCCCGGGAAGATGGCGGCGGCGGGCGGCGGCGAGGGGGCGCGGGGCCGGGCTGCGCTGCGGGGCCGGGGCCGGGGTGGGGGCCGCGCGGGCCGGGCCCGTCCGCCGGCGAGGACGCGCGGGGCCCCGCGCCCGGCCCGCTGCACCCCGAGGAGGTCGCCGCGCGGCTGCAGCGGATGCACCGCGAGTTGAGCAACCGCAGGAAAATCCTGGTCAAAAACTTGCCCCAGGACAGCAGCTGCCAGGTACGGGGCGAGCGCGGAGGGGCGGCCCGTCCGGGGCCGTCGGGGCCGGCTGCGGGGGAAGCCGCCCCGAGGCGCCTCGCGGCGGTGGAGGGGCGGAGGGGGTCGGTGCAGAGCTAGAATCTAAGGTCGCTTTTGCACACACACACACACACCCGCCCCCGGTTCCTGAGCCCGCGCGGCCCCTCCGCGAGGGCGGCAGAGCAGGAAACTGAGGCTCCGGGAGGCGCAGCGGCTGGTCCAAGGTCAAGGGACTCCGGGGAGGCTGTCCCTAGCCGGCCCCCCCTCTCCTCCCCGTGCGGCCCGCGGCTGTGTGTGTGTGGGGGGGGGACGGGATCGGCGGGGAGTAGGGGGAAGGCAGGTGAAGGAGGTGGAGGTGAGCCGTGGAGCGCAGTGGGGGGGGGGGCTCGGGTTTTCAGGAGTACCTGGGGGGGTAGAGAGTCCCCCTGGGTCCTCCGGACTTGGGCGTGCCATGGGGGCGGGGGAGAGCTGGAGGAGAGTTTTGCCGTTGCAGAAGCACTTGCCCAAGTTTGTATGGAAGGACTCTGTCTCCCCAGTCTACCACGGCCCCCCGGAATGGAGAGGTTCGCGCTGAGCTTTGGGGAACCTCGCGGCCCCTTCCGGCCGTGCCAAGTACTGGAGGGTTTGCTACTCAGTGACTCCAAGGAGGCTTAAGGATAGGCTACTTTGTGTCTTTGATCCACGTTAACTGGTAACTGTTGCTTCAAGATTAGAAACTTTGCATCTATTTAGCTTTAACCCCCTACCCCGTGGAGTGCCAAAGTTTCCACGTCGCTCATTGTAGAAAAGCGAGAAAATACGGAGAAGCACAAAGAGGAAGAATAGAAATCACTTGTATTTTTTTTTCTTTTGAATTGAAGCATAGTTGACATGCAATGTTACATTAGTTTCGGGTGTGCAACATAGTGGACAATTCCCTACATTAGGCATTGCTCACTACCGTGTGACCAGTTGTCACCATACAAAAGTATTACAGTGGTTTTTAAATTTTATTTAAAGATTTTATTTATTTATTCATGAGAGACACGCAGAGAGGCAGAGACACAGGCAGAGGGAGGAGCAGGCTCCTTGCTGGACACAGGAGTAAGACACAGGACTTAATCCCAGGACCCCGGGATCATGACCTGAGCTGCGCAGGCAGATGCTCAACCGCTGAGCCACCCAGGCGTCCCGGATTATAACAGTGTTATGAGTAGTTTCCCAACGGTATACTTCACTTCTCATGCCTCTGATTTCCTTATTTTATAACTGGAAGTTTGTGCCTCTTAATCTCCTTCACCTGTGTCAGCCCCCCCCCCCCCCCCATCCTGCTTCCTTCTGGCAACCACCAGTTCTGTGTGTCTATGAGTCTGTTTCTGGTTGTTCTTTTGTTTTTTAGATACTAGGTGTAAGTGAAATCGTATGGTATTTGTCTTTCTCAATCTGACTTACTGCACTTAGCATCATACCGTGCAGGTCCATTCATGTCACCAATAGCAAGGAAATATTCTGATACTTAAAGACAACCATTGTTAACATGGGATATTGTCCTTTTCCCTTTTCCCGTGCCTGTGTATACATATGTATTTTTGTTTTACACGCACACACACAAAGGAAAAGAGAGAGACCATGTCTTTGTACTTCAGGGTTTCTTAATTGTCTAGATGTTCATATATATTTCATATATCGCTTGAATTTATGTATTTCGTGTGGATGGGGAGGGTGGGCTGTCCTTTTAGTGGCAGATTGGGGCCAATTTATGTAGTTCCTCCTGTAGCAGGGTATAGGGCATTGCAAGTGGCTGGCTATTGATAACTGCAGGGCAGTTCTTCCATAAGACCTGTAAATACTGAGAGCAATGGCTCGTTATTATGTAATTAGATCTTACAATGAGAGCATATAATCCATATGCAGGAGGGGCCATTTTGTTTCAAAAAGCAATGTAAAAAAGTCTTTCTCAATATGATGTATCTCATTCCTTTTGCAGCTCTTTCCATTATTGTCTACTTCCCATCCATCAGGTAATATTTTGTGATGCTACCTATAAGAACACCTGTAATGGATTGATTTCATAGAAATAAATTTCCCCTACCCGTGCAAATAGAAGGCAGCAAGGGGGCTCAGGAAGAGAGGTGCCTGGAAGAGACAGGTGGCATTGAAAAAAAAAATAATGGAAAGAACAGCAGCTCTATGTATAGATAATCTAGGAAAAGAGAGATGGAGAAGTATTTTTTTTTTTTTGTGGAGTGTCACCTATTTTCTATTTCCTTGCATTCTAAAAATATTTAGATACAGAATTCTAGACTGTTGGCTCTATTCTTGTTTTGCTGTTGGTATCTTTCTCATTTCTCTTAAGAGACATGAAAAAAATGTCAGAGTCTAAAAAAGGAACAGTTTTAATTACTGGGTATTAGTGATGGATGGAGGCTTTATGAGAATTATACTGATTTGTATTTTTGAGATACCCTTTCTCTGTTATGAGTTTATGTTTGGCCTAAGTCTTAGGATTTTCTGTAAGGTAGCAAGAATAAACTATTTGAATAAAATTGTATAGTCTACATGTCTAGATGAGTCTTGTACTGCCAAGTGAAGTATCTTAAATTTTTACATTAAGTTAAATTCTTAGGCCAAGTTTTTTACAATAGAAGAATTTAATCTAAAAAAAAAGAAAAAAAAAGATCTAGAGGTTAGTTTCTTAGTTTCCAGACTTGTTTGAGCATTTCTTTCCTATGATGATTTATATTATAAAACGTTGTTTGTAGGGATGCCTGGGTGGCTCAGTGATTGAGCTTCTGCCTTTGGCTCAAGGCATGGTTCCAGAGTCCCAGGATCAAGTCCCACATCGGGTTCCCTGTGGAGAGCCTGCTTCTCCCTCTGTCTATGCCTCTGCCTCTCTCTCTCTCTGTCTCTCATGAATACATAAATAAATTAAAAAAATAAAACGTTTTTAAGATTGCTGGTGTGTAGTTTTATTTATTTTTTTATTTTTTTTAAAGATTTTATTTATTTATTCATGAGAGACACAGATTGAGAGAGAGGCAGAGGCACAGGCAGAGGAAGAAGCAGGCTCCTTGCAGGGAGCCTGATGTGGGACTCGATCCCAGGTCTCCAGGATCACGGCCTGGGCCAAAGGCGAGCACTAAACCGCTAAGCCACCCAGGGATTCCCTGGTGTGTAGTTTTAAAATCTAAACCTATAGTGCACAGATAACATTTGAGTAGTGTTTTTTTTTTTCCTGTCATCTTCTGTACCTGTATCTTTGCTAGTTTTCTGATCACAATTATAACTATGTGGTCTGTGTTCCATAAATAGAATAGAACAAAGTATGCTAATTTTTAAAAGCAATTAAAAGACAATCTTTAATTAGACTGAGCATTGCTATTTTTATTGGTTGAATAAAATGCATATATTCCTATCTCTTAAGTTCTAATATTTTAATAAATATTTTTTGCGAGGATTTTTTTATATTTTATCTTTTATTTCCCTTAGCCATTCTAATGTCTAGGGGCACCTGGGTGGCTCAGTTGGCTAAGCATCTGCCTTTTGGCTCAGGTCATGATCCTGGAATCTTGGGATCAAGCCCCATCGTCTGTCATTGGCTCCCTGCTCAGCGGGTCATCTGCTTCTCCCTCTCCTTCTGCCCCTCCCTCTGCTTGTGTTCTCTGTCTCTCTCTCAAATAAAATCTTTAAAAACTAACAATTCTGATGTCTAGTTCTAATGTCTTTCTTAGTGGCTGCATATTATGTCAAGTTAGAAATGAGGGTTTAACTTGAATTTTACGTTGTGCCTTTTAGCATTTATTGCATGGCTAAAATATACATACTTTATGAAATAACGAACATGGTTTAAGAAAAAGTAACTACTTTTTGTTCAGTTATTAAGTAATAAGATGCTTTAAATATCAAATTCCTGTTCTTTCCTAGAAGATTCATCTTTTTCCCTAAAGATTTTATTTATTTATTCATGAGAGATACAGAGAGAGAGGCAGAGACTTAGGCAGAGGGAGAAGCAGGCTCCCTGCAGGGAGCCCGATGTGGGACAAGATCCTAGGACCCCAGGATCACGACCTGAGCCAAAGGCCAATGCTCAACCATTGAGCCACACAGGCGTCCCTCATTCATTCATTTATTCTAGAATATTACATTAAGGATCTAGGCCCTTCCTAACTTTAGTTGTCAAGCTGTATAGTTATGTCTCTAGAAAAGTTACATTGGTAACTGAGCCCAATAATATTCTTTTAACATTTTAAAAACATGAGTATTTTCTTTATTAAATATGATTTTTATAAATCTTACTCAAATTTTAAGTTTTGGTAAAAACTTCTCAAAAGCTGCCTCATTTAATAGCTACTGTCCAGTCAGTCAGGTGCTGTCTGGTTGGCCTCCTACGCTTTCTCAAATCCTTCTAGCCCTTTGTGTTTTCATAGTCTTAGCTCTGGTTCATGTCTCTTTTCATGTCTTGCCCAGACTACTATGACTTCTCTGTTTGTCATCTACCCTCATTATTGTCCTGTGTCTTATGTTTTAGCCCATCCTGCTGACTGCTTCCCTTGAGGGGAACTCCCCCAAAGCACAAATCCAATTATGTCACTCCCCTACAAAAAAGAGAAAGAACAAGAAGGTTTACCTCTACATTCCCAGCACTTCTCAAACTTTTCTTCAAATGTCCCTCAACATGTCTCTTTTCCTCAAATTGTGAGGAAGAGTGAAGCTCAATCAGTTTATCTCAAGAAACTTTGAAGCTTTGTCTTCTGACTGAAGTTTTCATATTAATTTTATTAGTTCTACTGGTGAACTTGGATTTAATTTAAAAACAGTACTTAGGACGTCTGGGTGGCTCAGGAGGTTGAGCATCTGCCTTTGGCTCAGGGTGTGATCTTGAGGTCCAGGGATCGAGTCCCACATTGGGCTCCCTGCGAGGAGCCTGCTTCTCTCTCTGCCTATGTCTCTGCCTCTCTGTCTCTAATGAATAAATAAATAAAATCTTTAAAAAAAAAAAAGCA